AAGGAGAAAAGAGACGGATTGAAGGAAGGAAGGAAGGAAGGAGAGGAGATGGATTAATGGATGGAAGAAAGGAGAGGAAGGAGAAAAGAGATTGAAGGAAGGAAGGAAGGAGAGAGAGAGAGAAAGAAATCCACTTCTTCATTTGGCCACAGTTGCCTGAAAACCCTTACCCCGCCATGACTGGAGTGAATGTGGCCTGCTGTGATCGGGCGCAGAGACCCACAGATAGAGGCAGCTTTGATTTTGGCGAAAGATTTGACTCACCATCTGGGTTTCTCCGTAATGGAAGCGTGCGCTGCTGTCTCCAATGCCTATTTAATCGCGGCAGAGCGATTATCCGACAGGCATCCTTCCGCATTACTGGCATTCAAGCTTTCTCCGCAGGGCTGATAATGATCATTTTTCGGGGTCAGCTTTTATCTGCGTCGCTTTCACCGCTCGGCTAATATTCCCGCGGAATGCCCAAATCCCCTCCCAATGCCACAATTTCGCTCGTGGCTAGCCGACAAAGCCTCTCTCGCTCGTGGGCCTTTTAGTTTCGCTCATCCCCCTTAAATCCTTTCCTCGAAAGACTCCAAGGCTCGAGATTGTGGGGGTCTTGTTTTAATTCGGGCGCGACCAACCGAGCAATCGCGCAATTCCAGTAGTAGACGAACCTACTAAGAGAAGAGATGCCGGGCGCCCCATAACACCGCGGGTCTGGTTTGACTGTTGCACGGCCAGAGGGAAAAGGGGTGGAAGGAAATGGATGATGGGGTGAGCCAAGGCAGCTTGCGGCTTGAGAGGGAGAGGCATGGAGGGCACCCCATTTCTCCGTTCTGTGACACAAACTCCTGCAAGTAAGGGGGGGGGGGGTCCAAGGAAATGAGAGGGAAGCAGCCAGGTGGGATTCTCCCTAGATCATTGGTTAGATCAGTGGTTAGAATGCAGTACTTGGCCCTACTCAGTGCTCACTTCAGGAGTTCAATCCTGACCGGCTCAAGGTTGACTCAGCCTTCCCTCCTTCCGAGGTGGGTAAAATGAGGACCCAGATTATTGGGGGCTGATTCTGTAAATCGCTTAGAGAACGCTGGAAAGCCATCGTATAGCAATATATAAGTCTAAGTGCTATTGCTATTGGTCTATGACTCTCTCCATTCAAGTCAGTTTTTCCTCCTTGGTTCATCAAGAAGAATTCTGGGCTTTTCGGGAGGGAGGGACGGAGGGAGGAAAGGAGGAAGGAAGGAAGGACGGACAGTGAGGGAAGGACAAAAAAGGAGGGAGGGAAGAAGGACAGAGAAAGAAGGAAGGAAGGAAGGAAGGAAGGAAGGAAGGAAGGAAGGAAGGACAGAAGAAGGAAGGAAGGAAGGAAGGAAGGACAGAGAAAGAGGAAGGAAGGGCAGAGAAGAAAAGGAAGGAAGGACAGAGAAGGAGGGAAGGACATGGAAGGAAGGACAAACAGTGAGGGAAGGACAGTGAAGGAGGGAGGGAGGGAGGATAAAGAAAGGAAGGAAGGACAGAAGAAGGAAGGAAGGAGGAAGAAGGAAGGGACAGAGAAGAAAAGGAAAGAAGGAAGGAAGGACAGAGAAGGAGGGAAGGAAATCTGAAATTTACCACTTTACAGCATACTGAGAAACCATCCTGCCAAGCACAGTGTTTGATATGTTAGCTGGCACGGCAGGGTCCGCCATGAAACAAAATCTTGGCCGAGAGAAATGCCTGCCTGCCCTCCCTTTTTCACTCCTTCCGCAAGAGGTGATTTAAGCATTATAACCTCAAGCGAGGAGCCCTTCCCTCTCTCCAAAGCATTTCGGGTGGAGGGGGCTTTATTTGGCCCAGCGAGCAGAGATCATAATAACCCTGATGGAAAACAAGGCTCCAAATTTGTGTCCTTCCCCTTCTTTCACGTTCCTTGTTTTCGCACCCGGAAGGTACAACCTCTTGCCCTGAAGAATGGCTCTGACAGATGGTCTTTTCTCTCTCTCTCTCTCTCTCTCTC